GTATCACAAAATTGGCTATCAACGTAGACTCCAAAGAGGCAGACTCCGAGATGAGTGCAGACACGATGACACAATTTGCCATTGAGCGACGAGCTCGTTGTATATAATTTTGGTTGCTTCCTTGCGATACACACTACTTGGTCAGTGAGGAAGTGCGTTCAACTAGTTACCGAGGAAGTTAATTGTTGAACCAAATTTTAGTTGCTAAAAACCCAACAGCTACGAAAGACTAGACCAACCCGTTATTTTTGATAATAATGACGATAATTATGATGAAAAATAATTCAGGGCATCATTACCAGACGCATGAACAACTACTTGAACTCTAGCAGCATGTTGTTGTCAGGAGGAAGGCCAACGCACGCCTTCAATACATTCTCTAGCATTGCACGCTGTTTGGCCAGCGAATTAATGCAGGGTGTTCCATCAGGAACCAATGGAGCCTTGGTCAAGTAGCTTAGAATCACACCGAAAGGATGCATACCACGCAGCTCCTCTCCGTCCTTGGCAAGCTTGATACGAGTGATCAACTCGGCCAAGAGGACCAAGTCGATGATCAGTGGAGCTGCGAGAAGAGAATCTTCACAGGTATTGTGCATAACGATTGTGTTGAGGCCATTCATAAAAATTTGTGAAGTGTACTCGTCCATAGCACGCTTAGAGTCGCCCACCGCCGGCACGTACTTGATAACGACACAGTGGTCCGGATGCTCAGCTTTCTTATACAATAGGGCATTGCTGTTCACCATGTCATTCACAACGTCTGACTTGGAAATCTCCTTCGAGCGGAAGCACTGAGGAGCCGATAGGTTTTTCCCATCGTTATTTCCGAGATGATTATAGCTAACAATAGACGTGGGCTTCAATCCCGCGCCGATCAAGAAGTCGACCAAGACAGACTTCATCTTGGTCTGGCCGGACTTGAAATCATCACCAGCAATGACCGCACCAGGGATGTTCTCAGCCATCTCCTTGAGACCAGGGACATAGGTATTCTGCGGGGAACCATTTACGAAGGGAACGCCCTCTTCCAGGCAAGCCATGCAATACAAAGTGCTGGGAGCGATTTCAGCCTCGTTTCGAGATACTGCGTCATGAGCTCAGCCTTGGTCGTGTTAACCCCTGGTATTATGTCAGCGTAACG